CATAGAGCATGTTTCTGCTTGTAGTGGGAAAGTCACTTTGCTGGTGTTTGGCTACTAAGTTGAAAAGATCTTAGAAATAGCAAAACTAGCAAAAGTGCGGTGAATTTACCAGTGTTTCCCTTTAGCAACGCACCTGTGTAGTTTCCCCAAAATGTGGTATTTAAACAGCCTTGAAAAGCACATTAAAAATCATGAAATTTCCCTTTGCTAACTATGAAGCCTTTTCCATTGGGGTTTGCAAAAAGCTGGAAGGTTCAAGCGAGGCCGGCCAAGTGAAAAGAATTAATCAGATCTGAGGGCTGAAGTTCAGCTATGTTGGATTTTAGGGCTGCCACCCATGACGGTCTGTTCGGTACAGATCAGCGTGTCTGCACCCGTTCACTTTATATCCAAAGATCACTTTAGAAATATAGAAAATTAATAAAATAATTTGGTGTCAGCATTAATCCTTTTGCGTAAACTCAGTCAAACAGAGGGTTTGTGAGTAATGAAGCTTAGGATGCTACAGATGATACATGGGAACGGCTTTAATCTTCATTCAATTAAAAAAACTTGACGATGGAGAGTTAAAACATATGTATTTAATTTATTACCTTTTTATACTCAAATCTGAGCCGGCTCACTGGGCTTCTCTGTGAAGTCAGAAATGAATCAAGCATAACATTCAACCACTAAAACTAGTTATTCTGTTCAGGAAGTAAATAACTATAATGTGACACCTTAATCAAGAAACAATAATGTGCTTTTGCTACGACTGTATATAACATGTTATTTGTTACTTTGATGTGTGTGTTACTGGCTGTGTGTTCCTATTAAATATGTAAATAGAGCTGTACCATAGCGATGACCGGATTGGCTGTTCAATGGAAGTTCCGGTGTTAAATACAGAAGGCGGACCGGTGGCAGAGTGGGTCAGATGGGCAGGGCCATTCTTCACCGGCATCCCAACCGGCACACCACCACGTTCAGGATTCTTGTGTCTCTGTGTGAATCGAGCGAGCTGCTACCTTTTTGTTTAAACCCATTTTCTCCTGTTTATGTCAGAGAGGGAGGCCAGACTTTGTGTTCACTTTCCATACTTTTATTTTGATAGGTAAGTCAGAACTCCCCTAGTTTAGTGTTGTTGTGGTTGTTGTTTTGGGTCGAGCTCACTCTTATTTTAAGTTAATCATCACCTTTGTTTCGACCTCACATTTATTATAAATAAATGATTATTGTTCTTGGTGAAACTGCTGTGGTGTGGCTGCTTGAGACCGGAGAAGGTTGTTCATGTTGCGTTCAAGTACCCCTAGACTACTTTTTCAGTTTTTTTTGTGAAAGAGTAAATTTGAATTCATCATTTTGATTAAAGAGCTTCTACATACTGGTGTGTTAACTATTACAGAAACATTACAAATGATTTGATAATTACAATGCTGTTAATTTAGGACAGCTGTGGAATAAACTTTAGACTGAGTGCTGGTCGAATACATTTGTTGGGCACTGCACATTAAAAAAGCATAATGTTGAGCATTTCCGTGAACTAAAATAGAGGTGCATTTCTACTGTACTGACTCAATCCCAATACCCCCATGCCACACACATGATCATTAATAAAGGCGCTTATTCTGCCTATTTAAGTCAAAAAAGTATTATTTTAAGATTCACATTTTTGTTAGAAGTTAGTTTGTACTGAACTACTAAAAGACAGACTCACATATTGTTGGTTCATGTGTATTTAACGTATCGTAGACCTCAACATTTATCATTTTTATGTGTCTTCTTAATGCAGCATTTTCATCTGGTTGGAAAATAAGCATCACTTGAGTTTTGGAGGGCTTTTGAACAGAGCCATAAACATTTTATATAATCATTAATCACTTCATGATGTCTGGCAGGTTGACGGCCGCTTGTGACTGAATGTTTTATCACCGACCTGTTTTATCCAGCATGTCCTACGACACTAATCTTATCATTACACTGTGTGTGCACCCAAATTTAAACCGACTCTTGAGTACCAAACGCAGCAGAGCCACGTGATCGGCCCACGAGACGAGGTGAGGTCGGGTCAACAGCCATAGCGATTCAGTAGCGGGGCGCCACGGCAGATTTCAGACGCCGTCTCCTTTAACAACGTGTCGGATAACAAGTGAAGTAGTAGGGGAATGTGTCCTTTATTCTCCGTGATAAGGTCAAGCAGATGAATGACCTGCCAGCATGGCGTTGCCTGGGGAGCGATGGCATGACGAACGCCTGATCTGCCTTTCTTCATCTGTCTCCAGAACATAGCACTGGATGTATGAGTCACGGCTCGGCTGTATTGATCCGTTGCATGAAAAACAAGATAGTGCCGCATATAAAAAAGGAGAGAGAGTGAATGTGAGAAAGACAAGGAGAACAGAGCGAGAGAGAGCATAACAAAAGAAGAAAGAGTGACGGGAGGTAAAGAAAGAGACGAATAGACCAGAGAGATGGATAGTGACAGAAACATGGAGAAGGTAAGGAGGGTGCAACGGAGGTGGGGAAAAAAGAAAGACAGAAAAGAGGAGAAAGACAGAATGTCGGTAGGAAAGACAGACAGACAATGGGCCTTGAGCAAGAACATGTTTGTATTATTCTAAATCCCTTCTATCAGCAAGATTCACTGTGAAACAAGATAGGTGCTCAGATTCAGCAAATCCTTTCTAACAGTTTTCAAACATTAAATGAGGAGAAAGAGGACGAGGCAAAGAGGGAGAAGTCCAACTCGGATACACCTGATGCTCAAAATGCAGGTGCACACAGGGAGATATAAACATGAAAAAATAACACATCCAATTACAAAGGCAGGCTGCAAGGTGGATCGGTGGTTAGCACCGTTGCCTCGCAGCAAGAAGGTCGCCGGTTCGCATCCCAGTGAGGACACCCAGAATCTTTCTGTGTGGAGTCTCCATGTTCTCCCCGTGCAGCGTGGGTTCTCTCCGGGTTCTCCGGCTTCCTCCCATACAGTCCAAAAACATGTTGAGGTTAATTGGTGATTCTAAATTGTCCGTAGGTGTGAATGTGAGTGTGCTTGGTTGTCTGTCTCTAAGTGTTGCCCTGTGATAGACTGGTGACCTGTCCAGGGTGTCTCCTGCCTTCACCCTAAGTTAGCTGGGATAGACTCCAGCCCCCCATGACCCTAGTGAGGATTAAGCGGTGTATAGATGATGGATAGAAAACTACTAATAATTCATGTCTAATTGTATATTTGAATGTCTTTGTTTTATTTACCTTCCTTAGTTTTTGATATTAAATTAGTTGGGTATCTTTTTTGTTCTGTAGCCATGTTGCTTTAGTTATATTGTTTTTATAACTCATTTCTGTGTTATTACCATGTTATTACCATGTTATTACTATGAGTTATTCCCAAGCTGTTAATTTGGTAATGTGTATGCACAAGGGGGGGAAAAAAAAACACAGGTTTCGTGCTTCTGATCATAAAATATTTTAAAAATGGCAATCAGCCAGGTTGAAATAAACGAGGATCTTCATTTAACTTCAAGGAGGTTGAACCAGTGAATATGCGCATAAGTGATTTTCTCTTTATATACTGCTACTTGTAGAGTCTGTAGTGAGAATGTACACACCTCATACATAATGTAGACCAGTGTACGCGTGATTTTCTACAGCTGGCCGAGTGTTGACGTAGCGAGGAGGAGATTTAATACGAGGCGAAGCCCAAATAATGAAAACACTGAGTCGTACAGTAATTTGTAACATGTCAATCAAAGCTCATAAAGTTCATTGTTTTTTTAAAATGTATACTGGGCACATTTCCTTTAGTTGGCCGACGCATCCTCGCTAATGTATCTGTTTGCGGCGTTTGAGGCCCGGTGACAGGATTCAGAAAAGAGGTGACAGAAAAAAAACACTGAAAAGACGGGAGACTGAGAACAAGACGTACAAAGGACAAAGCTGAGAGAGACAGAGGAAATGACAGCGACAGAAGAGGGAGAAATTTAATGGGAGTGACAGGACAAAAGAAAAGAGCTGTTGAATGAGGGAACAGTGAGGTGAGCAGTCGCAGAAATAGAAAAGTGAAGACGCACAGCCGTGACCCGGGGAAATCATAGCTTCTTCACGTTATCGTGTCCAGTTGGCCTCATCTGTGAAAGTTTCATCTCCCCAAGTTTAATCAAGCGTTGACTCGACAGGCAGCACTGTGTTTCCCATGATGCACCACTCTACATCACTAACAGCTGTTTACAATCACCTTGAATGACTGCATCACTCATCCTGCTCCTACCTCTGATGGCTGAAATGTCATTTATAAAAACTTTTTTTCTTTGGACTACAACTATCTGCTTCCATTATCAAATCTTTTTTCAGTCGCTGTTCGTCAGTTAATTTAATAGACAGCCAAGAAAACCAGCAGCTGTTCTTGTTATAACCTGGAAGCTGTGAATGCCTTGTTTTTTTTTTTTTAAATAAAGACAAAGACATGATCAATCAGTTCAACACTGCTGCCGATTAAAGCTCAATTAGTTCACTGATGGATCAGGTTTTGATTATTTGATGAATAATGTCGTCATAAATCACTTGAAATTGTCTTCATGTAGTTTTTTACTTTGATTAAAAGTGAGACAGAAGCAGATTTTTAACACTTTGCACCAGTATTGCTGCAGTAATCACTATTTTATATCAACAACTAATCAAACTGTGTGTCATGCTGTACCTTGTAGTGTCCCATTGTTTCTCGATGTTATCCCATCCACTTGGCCTTGTCTCTAAATGTTTCATCTTCCCAAGTTTAATTAGCATGACTCTACAGGCATCCCCGTCGTTCCCATGATGCACCACTCTACCGACTGTATTAATCAGCCTGCTCTGACTGTTCATGAATACGTCACTCCTACAAATGTAATTTATAAAAATGATTGTTTCATCAATAAACCCTTAAACACCTGGCGGGCTTCACTAGTTTTGCAGCTGATTTATTGGTCTTAAACAAAAAACCAAATGAGAGTTCCAGAAGCTAAAGGGGGAACACAAATACACACCTTCATAGTCCATGTCCCAGTGGTTCTTCCTGATGGAGTCATTGTCGGAGGTCGACGGCGGCCTGGCAGGGAGGTTGGGGGCCACGCTGCACACGACCGGCCCGTGTGACTTTGGAGAGACGCCTCCCGATGAACTGATCTGGCTGCGCGGCCGCAGCGACCTGAACGGTGTGTGGTCGAGGTCATTGGGTCGGCCAACCAACGAGCTCATCTCAATCGGGTTGACTTCTTCAGAGTTAGCCTTGAGGCTCTTGGCCAGACTGGGCTGGAAATATCTGCGGGTGTCAAAAGAGATGTGTTTAGTCCTTTCTTTTGTAGACAAGATATCTGTGTCATGACTGGTTTTATCAGTCTAGTAAAGTGAATGCATGCTGTCACTCAGACATTGGTCACTGTTGATGTTCCTCATGCATGTGTTCAGACATGCCAACAACAGAAGAGACGATGGGATACGTCACACGCATACGACTAGACCGCACATCAAGGCTGAACAAAAGACTAAACTAATCGTACGCAGCATGGAGGACTGGATCTGTCAGGACCTAATGTGCAAATGACACTGTGTTGACATCAGACAGATGAGCTGTCACACACAGAGTCACAGTTTATAAGCTACAGTTACATTAGTGAATAGCAGCGATCCTTCCACTGAGTTTAGAACTCCACTGCAGCTATCAATATTATTTTACTGTAGAGGGTTAGGGTTTAGGTTTAGGTTAGGGTTCCCCTGCCCCCCCCCCAAAAAAAATAAAAAAAATCACATAGTTTTTATTGTGGAGATTCTTTTCTTTAAGAGGCTATGTTTTTTATTTTAATTTTTTTTTATTAAGTCTCACATTAAGGGGCTGCAAGGTGTCTTGGTGGTTAGCACCGTCGCCTCACAGCTAGAAGGTCGCTGGTTAGGATCCCGGTGAGGACACCTGGGATCTTTCTGCGTGGAATTCGCATGTTCTCACATGTTCTTCCCACAAGGTCCAGAAACATGTTGAGGTTAATTGGTGATTCTAAATTGTCCGTAGGTGTGAATGTGAGTGTGCTTGGTTGTCTGTCTCTAAGTGTAGCCCTGTGATAGACTGGTGACCTGTCCAGGGTGTCCCCTGCCTTCACCCTGAGTCAGCTGGGATAGACTCCAGCCCCCCATGACCCTAGTGAGGATTAAGTGGTGTATAGATGATGGATGGATGGAAGTCTCACATTAGAAGAGGTTAATGGAAACAGCAAAATAAAAAAAATAAAAAACAAACAAACAAAAAAAAACTCCTGAATTTCCCCATGCTACTTAGTTAAATTGCTTCAAAGCAGTTCATGGAAACAAACTAAATTTATAGTTTCTTTCTTTCTTTCTTTTTTTTTTTTTTTGCACCAATTGACCTAGACCAGGGGTGCCCAATCCTGGTCCTCGAGAGCCCCTATCCAGCATGTTTTAGATGTGTCCCTCTTCCAACACACCTGATTCAAATGATCAGCTCATCATCAAGCTCTGCAGAAGCCTGATAACGATCCTGATCATTTGAATCAGAGGGAAACATCTAAAACATGCTGGATAGGGGCCCTCGAGGACCAGGATTGGGCACCCCTGACCTACACACTTACATGGAAACACAGCTACAGTATCAGAGCAGGAAATCTGCAGCTGTAGCCCAAATATGATCTGCACGTATGCATTCCTGTATCTATATGCAGAACACGACACCATTCATTACTAAAGTAACCGTTGCTTGCAAACTCATGTTTCTATACATTAGCGTGACTGGGTGAAATTCAGCCTCATGCCGTGTTCAAAGCGATACCAAGTACAGAGAAGTGACCGGGGGGCTTATTCAGACATGAAGTCAATGCGTTCCGACACTGTCAGCAAAATGGAAAGCAGTCTGAAAGGAGCTTTTGTTAATCTTTGTGCAGTAATTACAGACTTCTTGCCTCCTCAAGTAACTTTCTTCTACTTTCTGCATCCAGCTGGACATGACATGACACTAATACAGTATGTCAGGGCCGCGTGCATGTCAGGAAGTTTTGTACATTCTATGCCCTGTGGTAGCCAAAGAAAAAAAGATTAATTCAGCTGGAGCGGGATGTTTGGGCCGATGTGGGGTGAACAGATCAATTCTGAGCCTGTTCTAGTGTTGCAAATAAAACATCTTTCCAAGAGAAAGTGTTCCTACTGAAGTGCCTCTACAATTTCACAGATGTATAATTGAAGAAATTCCATTACTGCTGGAATCAGATTCTCCCCGAGTCACTTTCTGTTCCAGGTCAGCGACTCCCCCTTAGCCTTTCATTAAATGTACAACAACTTTATAACAATGCACGGTGGAAAAAGTTAAGACAGGTGCGTGACAGCTTTTGCTGCTGCTGCTGAAAAGTTGCTTGAACACTTGATTTGTTTCAACATTTTACAGTAGAAAGTCACTCTCACCCGTTGGAGTCCTGGACACAGACGGGCTTTTTCTTCTTCTGCTGAACGTATCGTTTCCTGATGCAAACGAACATGCCGACCAAGAAGAGCAATCCAAGCACGCTGGCACCGATCTCTATGATCTCCACGTAGCCGATCACCTCAGGAGACACCTGATGGACAGACAGCATGATGACGACGACTTTAGAACGACAGTGGAAGTTCAATGTTGCAAACCAAATTGTATTATTCTGATGAATCCATGAAAATCCATTTGTTCTGACTGACCAGATGCTGCAGGTCGCAGTGGATGGAGCCATCAGTGACTTTACAGTCAAACCCTCCAGGACACAGGTTGGGCGAGCAGACTTCAAACTCATTGTGGCACCTAAATGATTAAAGGAAGCCAGATTTAGGGCAAGAAGAACGAAGGACATTTAAATCTGCATCTATTTTGAGTTTGTTTGCAGTGTTTAATGGTTCAGTTGCTGCATCAGCGGAGCACAAGGTCCCAAAACTCATATTACTGTTTTTTTATTTATTTTTTGGCTTCTACTGGGGAAAACTGTGTTGCCTGAGGAAATGCTGTTACATTAGTCAGATATCACAGAGTCAGCTTGTCAAGCTCAGCTCTGCATCGTCAGAATTGCTTCGGCTTTTGTCCGTTCTTTGTGTACCTCCGTCGTACTTCAGCAGAGCTTTGAGCTGAATAATAACGTTAGTATGCTAATGCGCTAACACCCACAGTTGTTGAAGTGCTTGACATACGTTAGATTGCAGACATGAAGAATGCAGCATTTATCACGTTATTGTCATGGCTTCAGCAGTAAAGTATTACAAAGTTCAGTATTTAATATTCCGCTTGTACCACTTCTAATGGATGTTAACTTGGAAACAATGAAAAATAATAAATCCAACATTGTACTGCACCTCCAGCAGAAAACAGTTACAGATTTGAAAAGAATTTCCACCTAATTTGGTGCATTTAAAAGCTCCACAGCAGGCAAGTAAACAGAGATTGAATTAAGCAGGGTTGCTGCATGAAACAATATTCACTGTCAATTTTTAAACTGTTTTTAAAGTGTTTTCTAGATTAGTTTATTCACAGTCTAACATACAAAATGTCATAAAATAGTGAAAAAATGAAAATTCTTACTTCCAAAAGCCTAAAATTGCTCACGTGAGTTGTTCTATTCCACAGACTGTATAAAAGATGGACGTAGCTACCGTGACGTCACCTGTTGGTTTCTGCACTGAGAAAATGAAGCCAGGGTTTTGCTACTTCCTGGTTGACATCTTGGATTTTTGGAGCCAGTGACGCAAAAATCGTCGGAGGGGGGCGGAGCCATAGGAGCAGCGATTGGTCAGACCGATTGAGAGGCGGGCCCTCTCTGCCCGCCCACATTTACCGCCTTCTGCTCGCTTTGTCTGCATCGCTGCCAACTGTCAATCAAGCCAGCCACGCCCCTTGCCCCGCAAAATGTTGATGATTTTTTAAAAATTCAGTGTTGATTTATTTTCAGATTGGCCACCTGATCTCTGGATTTGACCATGAAAACTAATAAGAAAAAAATCCTGAGCTGTAGGAATGCAGTATTTGGTGATCTGTGATCACTTCTTTTCCAATTCAAGTCTATGGGAGCCAGGGCTTTTTGGAGCCAGCAGCTAGTGGACATAGTGATATTGCAGGTTTTTGACACTTCTAGGTTGGCTTCATTTTTCAGGGCCGGTTGCTAGGTCCATCTTTTATACAGTCTATGTTCTATTCACAATCCAAAGATATTCAGTTTACTATCGCAGGAGAATGAACGAGCTCAGAGGTTTTGAGTTGTGATGACCTCTCTTAACACTTCAACAAATAAATCAATTATCAAAATACTGTGATTAAGTTAATCGCTGACGACTAATCCATTAATCGTTGCGGCCTCAGATTAGTTTGTTACTTTAAAATGCCCTAAAAGTATTGAATTAACTTAAATTATTTTGTATGGTAAATTCAAATAATTTCTCATTGTTTAAGTTTTTCTATTCATCGACTTGTCAAAACTGTGTCCAAAAACCCAGGGTTCCCCTTTCAACAGCTGCTCTGAATAACCAAACCGCCGCGGGCCGCTGTGTCTGTCAGTATGTGAATGTGAACGAGAGCGCTGAGCAGCGCCCAGGCTGCCACCTTGGCCCTTGAGTGTAGGTTAAATTTGGCTGATGATACTAAAAGCTTCACTGAGGCCCTCCATCTTCCCGGCCCAGGCGTGGAACACCACCCCGAGGACATACTGGCAGAACTCTGATTGCTAAGTGCTGGTGCTGCGACACTGACAAAAACCTATCATTTTGTTTTACATAAAACCGCCTGGCGTTCGGCTTCACCCGCTCATTTCCCAGGTGCTAAATTCCCTCGTTGTGTTTAACTGAAAGTATATTCCAACAGCACTTTACAGAGGAACATGCAGCACATGTGATTTTTGTTTTTTTTCCTGTGAAGAAGCAGCTTGATTTTGAAAAGAGTTTTTGATTAACTGAGTTGAGCTGAGTCCTTTATTTTGGTTAATATTTGATGCTACTTGTTATGTAGATTATGCTATAAATACAATGCGCTGCTGTCCACTGCACGGTCTGATTGCAACGCATGCATCGCAGCATGATAAAACATATCTGCATGTTTTACAAATCACACCGCAAACTCACACTTCCTGCAGTTACGGTCCAGCAGCGGTCATTTTTCATTCACCGAGTTAATCAAAGCCCCACCTGGAACGCGGACCGCTGTTAATAGCAGCAAGGAGCGTCGCAATTCCACCGGCGGCTTTAATGAAAGGAAGAATATGCAAATGCCACTGTAATTTTGTAAGGCGGCCGCTGGTGGTGTGAGTGGAATACAACTAGCCGGTTTAAGAATGAGATGCACGTGTGTGTTTTTGTGTGCATGTGTGTGTGTGTGTGTGGTATGTAAGTCCAATCACAAATACATGCAAATTCAAGGCCATGCACATTGTTTTTCGGAATGCAAGCATGTGCTTCAGCGCAAGTGACGCTGCATATAATGAGGATTGTGTTGGCTTTTGTATTTAGTCGGCCTTGGTGGAACCATGATTCATACGTCTGTGTATCTAATTACAAATCTGTGGGTGTGTGTTAACTGTTAGACCGCAATACATTTGGGAGACTCACGGTTGCAGGAAATCATCTTTATCACTGATTACTATTCAGATTTTTTGTTGTTGTTGTCTTTTTTTTTGTCCAGCAGCTATTCCTGTTAGAACATGAATGGAATCTGTGACAAGTGAATTACATTTGTGTTTAAAAAAAAAAAGAAAAAAAAAAGGTACAATTCATCAGTTCAAAATGATTTCCAACTAAAGCTCTATCACTGACTCTGTCAAATAATCCACTTATTGTATAAACTCTTTGTTTTTGTTCTTGGTACAGAATGTGCTCATAAATCACTTCAAGTTGTTTTCAAAAAGTTTTCTACTTTGGTTAAAAGTGAGAAAGAAGCAGATGACTAACCAGCTTTTTCACTTAAAGGTGCAGCAGTATCCATTTTTTTTATATCAATAATTGATCAAATTATGTGCAGCATGTTGTTGCTCGTAGTTCCCCACAGTTCCACAGAGCTTTGTATCCATTCCAAACACTTGTCTTGCTTTTTCAGGCCTGCATCTCTGCTCTCATCAGTGTTTGCAGCTGCCCAGCCCAGTCATAATGCAATCATACCGACTTTATTTGGTGCTAATCTTAAAGCTGGGTTTGTTCTGCTGCCATAACAACAACAAAACAATGGTTAATGATGCTGTAAAGATCAGCTTATTAGTAGCTGACATTCTGTTGATTGGGTTTGATCAGTGTCTCCTTTCAGCAGTTTGACTGATACTGAAAGATGCTAAGAGCTGATGTTTTTGGACTTTAAAGAATTTAACTTTTTTTCTTTAATTTTCTTTTCTTTTTTAAAACCAACTCACAAAAACACAATCTAATTTAAAAATGCACTGATTTGGCTCTGATGCGGCCACCTCTCTCCACACATCAGCAGTGACAGCCTGTCAATTATGAACAATCAATGTTGAGAAACTTAGTTAAACATATGTAAAACAAAAGTAAACTAAAGCACTTCAATTCAGTTTTGTGTTGGAGTTTGTGTTTTTCTAACTTTTGACAGCAACACTGGAATTTTTGCTGCAAATGTTCATCAGCTCCAGACAGTGTTTCCTGTTCTGCTTGATTACTAACGATGAATGTCGGCCCTAATATCAGCTTATTGGTCCCTATTGGACGCTTGGAAACCAGAAAAATGAAATTCTTGAATGAAGGATAATCATAAAGCCAACACTAGGAAAAAACTAGCGTCTTCTGGTAAAGAATATATTGAAGAACTGCATAAATAAATGAGAAAATGAAGTGTGTGTGTGTGTGTCTACCTTGCTTCAGCGTTGTCCAGCGAGCAGTTGCACATGTAACCTTGAGGCTTGGGTACACACACCCTACCGTGGGGACACGACTGGGAGGCGCACGGGTTGTCGGCCAGCTCGCATCGGAGGCCGTGGAAGACTCCCGCGCACCTGCAGCGCGGCTCTGCACAGTAAATAAAACACACCCAGACATCTGAGACAAGAGCGACCGATCAAAGCCTCAGTGAGTTTCCCCTACAGGCAGAAAATAATCAAAGCAAAGGTCAACCTGATCGAGCCCCAAAACATACCAGCGAGTTTGATATTCAAAAAGGAAAAAAAAATACAAAATCAGTCCTAAAAAACATGCACCGTTTTTAAACACCCTGTGGTTAATTGGTAGGAAATGCGTGACATCAAACCCAGGAGGAATGTAATCGCAGTTTCACTGATCTAAAATAGCAACGGAAAAACATTTTGTTGACTCAAAAGGACAATCAACAAAACTAATAATTGGCTGACATATTGTTATTAGATTTTTTTCAAACTCTCAGTTATCAGTGCTGACTATTTAAAAAAAAAAAAAAAATCCTTATTTTGTTCAGTTAATGATTCTGGCTCAGGGCTCATAATGTGGCTCTCTGCATGAGCTTCACACTCTCATACCGCTGTCCTATACAGGGCTTCACACAAACCTTCCCCCTGGTAGCACTGATGCTGAAAACTTTATCTGTTAGTCACAACAGTACATGATTTGGTTGCACCATAGACTGTATAAAAGATGGACGTAGCTACCGTGACGTCACCCGTTGGTTTCTGCACTGAGAAAATGAAGCCAGGGTTTTGCTACTTCCTGGTTGACATCTTGGATTTTTGGAGCCAGTGACGCAAAAAGGGGGGGGCGGAGCCATAGGAGCAGCGATTGGTCAGACGGATTGAGAGGCGGGCCCTCTCTGCCCGCCCACATTTACCGCCTTCTGCTCGCTTCGTCTGTATCGTCACTGCCGACTCTCAATCAAGCCAGCCACGCCCCTTGCCCCGCAAAATGTTGACGATTTTTTAAAAATTCTGTATTGATTTATTTTCAGATTGGCCACCTGATCTCTGGATTTGACTATGAAAACTAATAAGAAAAAAATCCTGAGCTGGAGGAATGCAGTATTTTGTGATCTGTGATCACTTCTTTTCCAATTCAAGTCTATGGGAGCCAGGGCTTTTTGGAGCCAGCAGCTAGCGGACGTAGTGATATTGCAGGTTTTTGACACTTCCGGGTTGGCTTCCTTTTTTCAGGGCCGGTTGCTACGTCCATCTTTTATACAGTCCATGGGTTGCACACTATTTTGGTTATTAATCAACCTTGCATGCCGTTGAGTCTGAGTATGATAATAATATGAGTAGTTGTCTTTGCATACCCTAGTTTTTCACTGATTGTAACTTCTGATTTGATATTTTCAAAAGATTTAAAAAACATTAATTTTGTCTTTTCCTGGATGTTGTCTCCTATAAACTGTGCACAGTCTAAACTCTTCACTTGCTTAACATCTGCAAGATAGACTACAAAATTCCCCGTCGCCCCTGAACCCCTCCCAGGCAGACCACAGTAGGCGCTGCTGAGCGCCTGCAGCTCACTCAGACAATCCTGTGACCTAAAATTACCTTGAACAGAGTGAAATAAGGGGTTTTAATGTCAGATTTACTCAAGTTCAAACCAAGTCACTACATTTACATGAGCTGTTTTCTTTGAGCGGAGACATGTGAATTGCCTTTTGAATGTCAATACTGAAGTTGATAGTATTCATTTAATCGAGGGAAGCCAAAGTCATGATTGTGATTAATTTGAACTGAATTTAGCCTCCCCCTGACATCGCATCAGCCAGTAAGTGCAGTACTTTTTCTTTTCCGCTGGATCAGTCGGTGTCTCCCTGCCTGCAGCTGCACTCTTTACCATAGAAACACCAAACTGCTGAACGTCCTCTGCTGGACAGAATTGTTTTTGTTTTTGACGAGTGAAGCGCATTTTAAATTTGATCATGTTCATCCAACTGCAGGAAGCCAAAATCAGGATCGCTGTTAGTATTTGTTTAATTTGGTTGAAGCTCTGTTCCTGCGTGTCAATCGTCTGTTGGATTTATTTCTTGGGCTTTTTACAGACAGCTGCTTCACAACAACTTTCTAACCATGTCCCAGTGCTTACGCCCCCACGAGGACGCTTAAGCCCACTCCACTTTATGGCAGAAAGCTCCAACAGCTGGCGGACGGACTTTGAAGCTTAGAATATTTTGCTACGTATCTTTTTGTGGCGCCGATCTCATTTTCGAGGGACATGTTTCTTTGACATAATAAGCCGATACCTAAAAAGGCTTAAAGTGGCGTACAAAGAAAAAAAGAAAAGTCAAACCCTGTTATTTTCTTCTGTCTTGTTATTTCCTATGACTTCTCATCACTTTTTACTTTCTCAGGAAGCAAACTAAATTGAAGCCTCGGATACACAGTCGGGGAACAGAAACAGAAACATCCACTGTCTGCGTTGTGTTTACCGCCTGTCTGATTGTCTTTCCTTGACCTGGAAGGAGGTTTTGGGAAACTACATATATTTGTAGCTTCAGATCGCGCACCAGGGTTTTGCGCCTGAAGCATAACTGAAATGTGATTTGACATGATGATGAATAAAACCTGAGAAAAGTAATACCTGGTTGTAATGCTCTGTCCTCAGGAGCCATAGTAGTCATTTTGCACAAAAGGGGAAAAAGAAATTATGCAGCTTGGTGACCTTACAGGTAAACCCGTAGTAGAGAAGCAACATCAGGTCGAGGGTTTTTCATATCAGCTTTAGGGTTTGTTCGTTTACGCTGTTCTTCCACAGCACAGAGATTTATATCTCTTCAGCTTTATGTTTGGTTTCATATCCACCCTGCTAGGACATATTGCCTGCACTCTCGGCCACAGTTTCACAGAGACTCTTGAGAATAATATTTAAAAGCCCCTGGTCTTTTATCTGTAAAATTGCAGGTGTGCTTATCAGCTGCTATTCAGGTAAAGAATAAGTCCGACGTCCTCTTTTGTGATACACAATGCAACAAACAAGACATTGCAAGCCTCTCAGACACCAATTTTTATTATTTTTTATCTAGTGTGCTTTGCGAAGAACTGACGCATCGGTCCAATTAGTGATAACCTAAAATGGTAATAAGAAAGCGTGTCGCACAAATGGGCCAAGAGTCAGATAAGGATTTCAGGCCAAACACATCTTTAATGTGGCTAAGTTGTCCCTGACTGCTGACGGCAGGCTTAAAGAACTTTTAACAATATTTAATGCAAGAAAACTGCAATACATTCTACTTCTGCATCCACTAATAAGAAGCTAGTTATTCATTTCCAAAGGATGAGTTTGAGGATGTTGGCCCTTAGGTTATTCTACACTTATATTACATTCAAGAAACCACAATCAACATTTGTTATCTATCTGCAGCTCGCAGCCTAAAGAGTGTCATCGGCAATTTAAAAAAAAAAAACAAAACTCCAAAAACAAGGTTGTAGTATTTGTTGGGTTGAACGGAGGATAAACGCACATTTGATGCTGCAAGAGTTAAACTACAGCGTGTGGGTTCATGGTAATGAAGCAGCATGTCATCCAGCGCTACAGTGAGGCTTACTGAAGTGTTTCTTTCTTCTTTTTTTTTTATAAAAATAGTTTTTGGAGAAAAAAACACAACAGAGCCTTGTGGCCCAGAGGAATGAGATGTATCAGGCTTTGGAGACACAGACGATAGTTGTTAGTGGTACCAGCTCATTATTAGTTTCGGCCTTGTCATAAGAGTTCGTTGCAGGGTGACAGCTGACAAAAGATGCACATTCGTTTCGACCTCGATGCCGCCTGCTAGCCTGGGTCTCCGTTTTTTAATAGAACAATGCTGCTGGAGGTTTTTTGGATCATCGAGTGTGGGCTCGGAGCTGTCACCACTTTTTATCCCATATCAGACACCAGTGCTGGTTTAAACAGAAAGTTACTGAACGCTGGTCTTTGTTCTACTGCCTTTAATTAATGCGATACTTTTGCATATTCTGTAACTTGTTTTAACAGGGTTGGCTGTACTTTTATATTATAGTTTGTCTGGAAATCTTTTTGTTGTTGTTTCTGTCTTTTAAACATCTTAATGCAGGATGTAAAGCACTGTGGGTTGTCTCTGTGTATGAAATGAGTTGATGAGTCTGTGTACAGGAAACTTAAACATGTATCTAAATACTAAGTTTGACCCTTTAAGGATAAAATGATCTAAATGAAGCGAGTCTGCCCTTTTGGTTTCAGCACCTACTCAGTGGATCATCAGCTGATTCTGTTCATCTGTTTGAGACCATTTTAAAATGAACTAAACGACGCTGTTTTAACAACATGTGTCTACAGTCTATGAGTAATACATGTCATCGTTAAAATCTAGGTGATGGTTTAATTTGAGGAAAACGAGCTGTTGTTTCGGAGCTGTTTTTAGATCTTGTTTTTATTTCGGCAGATGACACTAGATGCTGATGGGAAATCATATGCTGCACAAGTCCAAAACTGGAACGTTATGATTGAATTGTACACATCTGAGAGTTCTGGGCCACACGGATGCTGGGCTGTAAGTGTGTCTATGCATCACTGTGTATTTTCTTTACTGAAACACACCCAGAGCCTGACTCCAGCCCACAGAGATGAAAGGACGGCGTGTAGTGGAGCGTTTCCTGCCTTCAAAGTGTCTCTGTGAGTGTGTGTCAAAAAGGCTATCAGTGAATCCCGTTGGTAAAAACAAACCTGTTTTGCTAGTTAATGTTATTTGAGAACAACAAAAGTCACATTTTCATCTGCTCACCTCCCATAGCGTCCTCCTCGCACAGCCCTCCGTTCTGGCAGGGGTCGCTGTCGCAGGCTCCTGCCCTGCTGCAGCACTGGTACACCCCAAACACCCTCCTGCTCCCTGACCCCATCCAGTCCGCCGGGTCACCTGCTCTGATGGGATCCCCATTGAGCTCCAGGCCCTCGAGGCAGCCAGTGAAGTTTTGTAGATTCTGATGGGCCTCTGATGTAGAGTCCTGGGCAAGAGAGGAGAAGAGCAAAGCTCCATGGGAGCGCATCATCCGGCACGGCTCGGTCAGGGCGATGAAGGCTGAGTGCTGCTGGTCCAGGATCAGCCTCAGGGAGGTGGATTTGACCTCTAGCAGGATGCTGTGCCAGCGGCCGTTTGACACTGGATCAGATCTAATCAGCAAAGAGCCAGGGGATGTGTTTCCACAGCTGTATCTAAACAGCAGCTCTCCATTGGTCAGCTGAGGAAAAATAAAATGAGGGTCAGCAAGTAAACCATCCATGATAAACAAAAAGTTTCCTTTTTATCTACTAGAAGAAACAAGAAGTCCCCAGTCTGGTTATCACTTAATGGATAATCTAAACTCTTAAACTTTAAGTCTCTCACCTTAAGTAAACTGTTTTGTGGGACGGTGGGGGAACTTAAGGACACGGATCTGTTTAAAACTATAGCTTTAACAAACTTGATATTAAGCACATCTTTTTTTTAAACTCAGAGGAATTCCTCACATAATACGGCACTATATCATTCTGTCAGTCACAAAAATACCTGAACACTGACACTGTTTTTATGCAGTCACACTGTAATGACACTGCAATTTATTACCTCCAGGTAACAAATGTTCTGTATGGACGTCTGCCTTCAGGATAGTTCTGATACATTTTATGGAGATAAATGAAGCTGATGCCTTTGGGTTTAAAAATAACCAAGTAACACATCTTCCTTTGCAAAGGCCAAAACTGTTGGCCTGTTAACTGGAACTCAAAGTTTAGTTGACATTTTACATCTGGCAATTGACATTTAACGTTTAAGACTTTTACGGTGGTGCATCATGTTGTGGTGCTTGTTATATTAATTTGTGCGTTCAATTAAAGCAGTTTTTAGTGGCGTAATAACTCTCCGAGAGGAATTGATTGAGTGTTTTGTCAGAGGATGTCAAGACAACTTGTTTGAAACTGGGCTATATACGTCATGGTTACACATTCCAACAGCTTTTGGGATGCAGAACATTTTTAACTTCATTGTGTGACGTCTAGTTCCATCGGGAAAATGAACCAAACCCAGGCGTGCCATTATGGAAATTACTAGCCGCTTGCAATAGATCCTGTAAAAAAAAAAACTAAACATGTTTTGCTCCTCAAGCCGAACTGAGACGCCATGACGGAGTGACCTGCAACCGACAGTCAGTGTGACAAAAAAGATCACTGCAGGCTGTGGAAACAAGTATGGAAATAAACTAGGGAGACTGCGAGCAAAATAAAATCAGATGCATTGAGCAGAGTGAAACATCTTTCTAGAATTGCTGAGGAGTGTGTAAAATGCCAGTCTGAAAAGGCTGTAAAGTTGTAAATAGTGAATCACACTGAGCCACCTTGTCTTTCCAGTATCGGTAACATCTTTGGGCACTTGGGTAAATATTGTACATAATCTATTTTTTTTCTTTAAATAGAGAAAAAAATGAATCAACAGTGAGTAAAAAAGGAGCTTAAAAAAAAAAAGCCCAGAAACTGCTTGGAGCTCTGATTTATAGTCATTTATACGTTCTGTGTTGTGTAGGAAGCCTTTGCAATATGTTGCATGAAGCCCAGACCTGGTTCATTCTCTGTGTGTGGAACATTTGACCGAGCAAACTCTTTCCACTTTAGGTAGAAGCTAAATGTAAACGACAGATTCCCATGTCAAATACACTGTACACTTTACATTTAGCCTTTGAAGTCTACAGATATTAAAAAGACATGTTGTGCCTTAAAAGGCTTTTACGCTGCAAATAAAATCAGCTTTGGCCGTTGGGTTCCCATGTTTCCGACGTTCTTCCTGTACCACACCACACAGTGCACGGAGTCATTCACATTTGCTCAGCATTTCATCAACATCAGCGGGAGCCTCTTAGTGTTTCTGCACGCTCAGCGTTCCCAAAAAGTAACAAGCCAGCAGCTTTTCCCTGCATCTTTTATCCGTTCATGTTTTCTTTATGTAACGGAATGCTCCTCATATCTTCTCTATTAAATATACAGATGGAGTGTGTATTTTGCAAATTGCCAAGCATCACCGCATCGGACGCTGAAGGCCGTAATGCATTATTGATACCAATCTGCTGGCAGCTGCTTCTTAAAACACCGCAGGACGAAGAGCTCGTCTCTTTGTTTTGCATGCTTATTTCGTTGGAGTATTTATTCCTGACCGCGTTTCACCCATGAACAGGTTGTCTGGCGTTTGCGCTGTTCTCCGGGTGACGCTGCTTAGCTCTCTGTCCCTACCGGAGGATTCTGTTTGATCTCATGTGGCTGGAAATAATGAAAAAAAAACAAACAACAAAAACTAAACAGAAATGACTCCTTTTGGAAGGATGGACCTGTAAAATTCTTCTCATGGATAAATGACAACGAAGAGGCGGGAGATGAGCTGGGCTGCTCCAGCTCAGGGTTTATCATGGGAAGATGCTGAAGCGCTGGCAGAGGAACAAGTGAAAATGTGTCGCGTGTCTTTTAATCTATTTTACATGACTTGGTGTGACTTCTAGTGTGATTTATGGCGGATATTTGAAGAGAGATAGCACAGTTTGACGCACTGAGGATTTTACAGTATCAGCACAGCCAATGTAGCGCGGGCACCGTGTCAAGTTAAACTCCACAGGGACCGAAGCTCTACAGCATCAGTGCTTCATGACTATAAATCACAGAGCCGGAGCTTCAACACTAACGCTGCAAGCTTCCTGCAGGGAGCTTTAATATTGCTGGGCAAAGTTCAGCGTGCAACAACGGCTGCAGCATTTTGTTAGCATGTGATGTATGGTATGTGCTCACCCCCACGCTGTATGGTATTGCACTGAGTAAAGGCAGGAGGCAGCAAGGTATCTCTGAGGTGGTATGAGCTTCACTGATTGCACTCCCTTGGCTTGTTGAGCATAATAAAACAGGATAGCATGGGAATAGCATCGCCATTTGGGTCTACATTTACATGCACACTAATAAGGCAAAACAGAGGCCAACTGCATATCCAAATGCACTTTTGCATTAATGGAGCTGGGAAGTCATGCACTCTTGGGGGTGCTGCATGTGGACTTTAACAGACCAGCGACCCCTTGTGGTTGTAGTTTTCTGAACAAATGGACCCTTGGGATTTTTGTCACTCCATGTCACAGACTTTAGGAGTAACAGGGACAACTAGGAGCAACTTTTACATTTAGGGTTAACATTTTTTAGTCAGAAAAGGAAAAAGAAAACACAACAAAAGTATGCAACGCTACACATTAGCAAGTTGCAGTATTTCAGTAAGAGACATTTTCAAACTGGAAAAAGACCGTGAAGAAGAAAAATGGTACAAAAAGTTCCACCCTGCAAGCTGACAGGATTAGCTCTATAAGTTTGTTAAATATAAAACCCTGGAAGTTTGAATCTGTCATCAGTAAACTGCTGTTTCTGATTGCTCAGTCATGACACTGACTGCTAAATTTACTCATGATGTGCGTTCATCAACTGGACACGTTAACGAGGTAAAAAGACAACATGGAAGAGCCAAAACCTGCAGTTCCTCAAACGTCCACGTAAGGTTGGTTTCAAAAGTGACCCCAGGTTAAAACGGCCAACTTCACAGTCCCTCACAAGGGAAGAAATGGGTGCTTAACGGTTCATTTGATAAACGACGGAAAGTATTTCACTCAAAACAATATTACACAGTGATGCAGGGGAAAAAGCAAGAGGGTCTTCACTGTCTTTAGGATTCTTCCTCTGAAAGCCGCGTATGTCTGTCCAATAGCAGTTGAGATTTTTCAAAGTGAATCAAAGTGGTTGACCAACGGACGGAAAGAAAAGCTGAAAGTTTGATGCTGTGATGCACAAAAGCATGTTGCCAGCAACGCTGAACATCCTAAAAAGCTCATTTCTGCCATTACAGAGCAACATCACTGGAATTTGCCAAACAGTCATCACAGACTGTCTGCCGAGTGAAACGTCTCAGGTCTTTGAGCAACAATTTCTCTCTGCTCACTCGTCAAGATAAAAGCCCGAATTGACACGTGAGTCAGTTTGTGTTAATGCAACAAGCATGAGAATCGAGTGTTGGTCCACTGATTCTACCAACGCGTATCCACATCTTTGTTGCAAACTGCTCCGCTGTCAGATCTGAGCCGTCACTCACCGAGGACAGTGTTTTCCTTCCTCGGTCTACACAGTTTACCACGACAGCTTTTCATTCAAGCAGGCACAATTTCCATTTCAAAGGTGATGATTTAGAGGACAATGTGTGCAGACATAAAAGGGAATTAGCAGCAGCAAATAGCTCTGAACTTAAGTTACTGTTTTCCCTCTCAGAGGTGCGAAGCATGCTGACGAGATTTGACAGTTTGCAAAAAATCCACTGAGATCCACGGCAGCTCGTGTCCCGAGGGGAATGAAGTGTGCAAATAGCGTCTTGTATCTCCAGGAAGGTTCTCTCAAGTCATCACTAAACCCAGGCGAGGGGTCCTCTCAGATGACCATGTTTAGAAATTCCTTTTGAAGCCATTTGTGCTCACAATGAATCAGGCAGGTTCTTGCATGTGCGGTGCCCGAGATCCAAAACCCAGGAGGTAGAACCTTGGGAAAGACTGAATGCTGCTTTTGAAGTTTTCTGAGAATCGGAATGATTGAATATTCTGCCCGAGAGCACATGGATGTCACACAAATGAGAAGAGCCCACGAGGGGAAGCACCACGAAGCATATCAAGTCCATATCAAGCCATTTTTTTTTGTTATCTGTTTAGAGAATTATTCATGTCTCTCAAAGAACACAACAATTCATTATTCTCTTTCAATGCACCCATTTAATGTGGTACAGTAGACCTTGTGCTGTAGCACCAAGATGAATCTTCCTTTCCCGTGACAATACCACAAAAACTTGCCAATAAATCTTGAAGACAGCGAGGCTTTCATTAAGCCTCACCGCTTCCCTCTGCGCGCATTTTGAGGGAAAAGGGCAACATGTGGCTCACGTGCCGTGTGCAGCGGCAGCAGGCGTCACAACTTGAGTTAAAAGAGCATCGATGAGCTGATTACGCTGGAGAAGAAGAGATTAATGAGGTAGACCTGCACCACCGGCCTCATAAGCCAGTGTAAAACCTACAATGTGTGCGGGTTCGCAGCGTAGCGCCGCCTCTGATATTCAATCAGGCATTTAGCGCATAAACACACGAGCCGATCTGCCACACAAAGATAACAGCAAGAAATGCCTGATGTGCTGGAACATGTGATCATCCGCAGGATTTGGCGAGATAGAGCCCCCGTGATAGGAAGATTGTTTTTTACATTTTAAATTAAAAAGCTGAACGGTCCCAACAACATGTGGGCTTGACCCGTCAGCACAGAGGACATGAAAAGGCCCAGGACAGAGCTGGTATTTCACAGAAGAAGAAGAAGACGAAGAAGAAGAAGAAGGCCACATTGTCTAAAATGTCAGCGTTGCCACAATAGAACAAATTTAAATCGAGTTGATTTTGTTTGCCAAGTTTCAGGGCTTCAACAGGTGCTGTGTGATGCTGCCGGAGCTTGACCCAGATACACGGCACAGTGTCCTGCTATTCTGGGATCTGTGTTTGCGGTAAACACAGAAAAAGGACAAACAGAGATTAGGCGCAAAATGCAGGACGAACGGCTCGCCACATGTCAGACGTTTCAAAAAGACACGACACCTGCACTGATAACATGACTGCTGGCACAGAGAAGCAAATAAAACATTGGTATTTAAGATGATATCGGCTTACGAAGTCGAAGCCAAGCGTTGAGTCTTATTTGTGAATCTAAGCTGGAAACCTTTTGTAATGAAAAGCTTCACTTGTTGTCAGTGTTCCCTAGTGAGAACTCCCTTAGATTAAATCAGTGGCTCTCCCATTTTATCATTCTGGTAGTAAATTAGTGTCAAACAACAATATTACACCAACAGCATCTGAAAATTAGGAAGAGATTTAATCTCTCCGCCGCAGCAATACTAGAGGAGCAAAATAAATTAAGTCCCGCCACAGGGGAGAGCACAATAAATATTTACACTTCCTTGAAATGAATAAAAATAATGATTTTGTGGTTCCTTTAGCTGTAATTAAATTGCTGCTTGTCTGTTGCAGTTTAATCTCATTTTATCTTCCTGAGCTGTAGCGACGTTTCCAACCAGGAGACAATGAGTGCATTTCCCACGCGAGCACAACACTGACATGCATTTCTTTTCATTCCTGGTCTGACCTTGGATCAGTTTTAAATAAACGCTGTAGTGAAGAACAGCACAACGTAATTAGCTGAAAACGTGAGGTGTCCACGTATCCTGCTGGATGGATTTGTGTTTAGGACCCTGATTACTTCACCAACATTGTTTAGTTTTGCCTAAGTGTGTGCGACTTCAGAAGCACATTTGTTTTGATGTAGCTGTGTTCCATTTTTATGTGATACTACAGTCAAAAAACTACAGAGGAAGCTGTGACTCTCTTCAGCAGCTTCTCTGCCCCACAGTACAGTACAGTACAGTACAGTACATAGTGGAGGGAGACTTGGCACAGATACTTGATTGGCTGATGTGGCGACGAGCCAGATTCACATTAAGTCTGATTGGTTCAAAGAAGCAACACTGTGCTATAAAAAAAGGTCTATTAGACTGTATGCAACAGTTTTTATATAACTGCATTGTAAGCAGCAGCTGGTTGACGAGGAGAATCTTAATGACATTATATTCTGCTGGAGAGTGTATTCTACTGTATATACAGAGCATCCAGCATCATGAAGTGCTTTAATGTGCACTAAGCTCTCTTTTTGAACAGGAATTAGGAATCTCAAACTGAATTCACCTTTTTAGACCCAAATCTCAGCCACTGGGCTTTTCTGAGGAGTCAGAAATCAATCAAGCATCACATCCAACCACTAAAACTAATTTTTCTGTTCAGGAATGCAAGTAAATAATACAAATTTGACATCCTAATCAAGAAATAATAATGTGCTTTGGCATTTTTTCTTTTTTTTTTTTTGTAAAACAGTACATTTAAAAATTCATGGATAACAATAATAATTATATATTAGCATTAAAAATATCATTTGGGTTAAAGAGCTTCTACATACTGGTGTATTAACCATTACAGAAACACAAGAAGTGATTTTGGTAATTACCAATGCTGTTAATTTAGGGCAGCTGTGGCACAAACCTGACATTGGGTGGTGGTCTAACACATTTGTTCAGCGCTGTGTCAAGTAAATATAGTGGAGTGAACGTAGAAAGTAGCAGGAAGTAGAAAGTACTGAACTGGCTACATGACGACGAGCTACCACAGGACAGAGCAGATCTACTGTCCTGTAGTAGACTCAACTATTACAACAAACACACAGAGGCTGCATCTGCCTGTTGTTTTTAAATGTGATTTTGGATGTCATAAGTACGTCCTGTCTTCTGATTCTCTCGTCACATGCAGCGTCAGAGAGATAAATACCTGTAGAGTTCCCCAGTCCTTGGTGCTGTTGGTGGACATGATGAGGCCCTGCTCCTGGTAAGTCTTGAACCTCAGGGACAGCCTGAAGTCCTGGCTGTCTTCGTCCATCCCGTGAAGATACTTCAGGTAGGACTTCCCGTCAAACCTCAGCGCCGACTCTGAAACACAGCAACGCAGCGACAGCCGACAGTGAGCAAACACCTGACGATGAATCATCACGTCACACAGAGAAGCACAATTCTATGATTAGAACGTCACATACATGAATGGATACATACACAGGACTTACACAGTCATCTACAATACACTTCAGTTGTGATACTTTTGCCTGAACCTGTTTTATCTAGACCTGAAACATAACAATAACAAAAAAAAGAATGGCATAAACTCATATAGAGGTTGTTCAGCAAATGTTTTTAATTATTGCTGTACTGGTTTAGTTCAAAATGTCAAATATTTGCTAGTTTCATTGTCTCAGCTGTCAGGGTTTGCTGTTTTGCTCAGTTTTACTTGATTTAAAATTAAATACGTTTGGGTTTGGGATCAGAGCCTGGACAAACCTGGAGGTCTGCCTCGCTCAGGGCTCTCAGCGCTGATCAGTTCACCAAACAACGACTGAGGAAGTTTAATGAAAACAATCCATCCATCCATTATCTATACACCTCTTAATCCTCACTAGGGTCGTGGGGGGCTGGAGTCTATCCCAGCCGACTTTGGGTGAAGGCAGAGGACACCCTGGACAGGTCACCAGTCTATCACAGGGCTACACTTAGAGACAGACAACCAAGCACACTCACATTCACACCTACGGACAATTTAGAATCACCAATTAACCTCAACATGTTTTTGGACTGTGTGGGAGGAAGCCGGAGAACCCGGAGAGAACCCACGCTGCACGGGGAGAACATGCAAACTTCTAATGAAAATAACTGTTTCTGTTAAATAAGCCAAATCAGTTCATGGACAAGAAGCTCTAATCACAACAGAATTAAATCAAATGCTCTCAGTTATCTAGTTCAACGACCCTTTATCTCTCCACAACCAGAGCTTTTACATTTTCAGCTGAGCAGCACATATCGCCCGACTTTAACCCCAGTAGCTGCAAGTTAACCTGAAAGTTTAGTTTTGAACTCAAATGTGCAGCTTAGTTTATCTGTTGTTCACAATTATTATAAATAAGAAGTCTGAAGCATACTTTATGAAAGCATGCTTAAAATGAGGATGTTATGTATTGAAAATTACTTGCCTGGGATTCAGACTGTCTGTCACAGTGTGGGACTTTTACATACAAATGAACATTCGAGCCAAATTAGTTCACACAATGCTGTTTAAGCCTTTCCTAACTCACCGTTACCACGCTGGTGATTGATGATTGTTTCACCAAAGCTGAAAAAAGAGGCAACCTTAGCAAAGTTTCTGATTCCTCTAAAAAAAAAAAAAAGAAACTGGCCTTTAGTGATATTTGACAGCGTTTTGTGTATTTACTTTCACTGCCTCACTGCAGGTTTTATTTATACTGTATTAATAAAGATGTAAATGTTTGACCAGACACATGTTTGTTCTGTATTTACATCTTTGGGAAATACGTAGATACAACTATGGACAATTTCATACACTGATGCCCCCCCAATAAATCAGGTGGCTTTGCAAATGAAGTATTCTATGTCAGTCCACATTATTCTTAATCAATTATTCTTAATAAGCCTCAATTATTTAACTCTTCTAAAGACTGAATACTCAATTATAACCAAGGTATGCTTGTTTTTTTCAACCTGATCTCTATCAGTCCTCAAGGCGACGGTGTTACTTTGCGCCAAATGTGACAGCTTAGTCTTTTAAAGCCAAAAAAAAAAAGGAACAAAAGACTAAAACAAAGTAATCCACACAGGTTTTGCCACGATTAACAACAAAAAGCAGGAGGAAAGACTGAATGAATTCGTGTTCGGACAAAATTTCCGTTCTGCTTTTTAGCGGTTTTAAGATGAAACTTTAATCATGCCTGTGGGGAGGTTCCCAAGGTCTGCTGCTCAAAACAAAAAAAACCCTCAAACTTCCCTTTTTGGTGGTTAAAAACTTTTGAATTTCAATCCAGTAACTTTCATTTTTACATTCTGCTCCACAGTGCTCTCTGAAGAACATTTTGAAAAACACCAGACAGGTCGTAGATGTTTGTTTTGTGTCTTAAAGGTCAGCGGTTTAAAACCCACGCTGGCTGTGTGGAGAAACAATTAGTCTTGTTCATCAGCCGCCACTGGCACTGACAACTCAAATGTTCCAGTAAAAAAACACCTTATAAACAAATAAACATTAAAATTTACTGCTACTACTTATTTAAAGTTTGCTCGATTAAAAAAAGGTCAAAAATCCAATCATTGTTTGTGTAATGACTTTTGACAGTTTGTGTAACCTCTCTAATCTTAATAATAATGTGCACACTTTTATTTTAGTGGTGGTCATCTTTGTGAACTTTCTGGGGCAGCAACTAATTATATTTTTTGTTTCAGATCATTCTGGTTATTATTATTATTATTATCATTATTATTGTTCAATTACCTGAATAAAAGTTTAGTCTATAAAGTTGCAGAAAACTGTCACAAAGTTGTTTTGTTCTGTGTGACAAATGCAAATATAATCAACTTCTGGTGCTGAGAGGCTGGAACCTGAAGCATGTTTAGCAGTTTTTGTTGGATAAAACACTGATTATTAAAATTGTTGGTGGTTAAAGATTTATTGTAATGAATTAATCAACTAGTTGTTGTTTAAAAAAAAAAAAAAAAAAAATCAGTGAAAATCAGAATTGGTAGCTAAATTTAAAGCACAGGTTTCTAAAGATAATATAGACTGTGTGTGTGTATATACATTTTTCTCTATCAGTTCCTTATTATTGTTTAAATGAAGTATCAAGCGATATGTTGGCATCAGAGACATAAAGCAGTTGGACAGCAGAGCACAAACTGCAGACGAGCACTTTCTGGATTTCTGCTTTTCTTGCTTATTCTATAATCTCACTCACAGTTCCTTATCAACAAAGATTTGAGTCTTTGAGGACCAAAAGGCTATCTGATATAGTCAAAATATGGTGGCGATAACGCAATCAGAAGATTTTCCAGAGGTAAAAGACTCTTAACAAGATACTGAATGTCTGTCCTGAAGAGCCCCGAGCCGACTTAACTTCTTTGGGGACAGAACTAATCCTCGCAGGAATGCCAGCACAAATCAGTGACGACGGTCCAGGTGGCGCCGCTGTTCCGTGGTTTAGACGAGATGCCGGCTGTAATTGTGAGGAATATTCGTACCAAAGGTGCTCTGAGAGATTCATATGAGGGATTTATAGCCTTAGTTCACAATGTGTAAGAGATAAGAAGAAAAAGAGCCTTTGATCTCTGAAAAGACGGATCTCTTTACCGAGTTGCCTGAAAACACAAGTCAGTTCTCTCTTTTATCCGAACCAAGAGTTGGAAGAAGGGTCCAGATGCTTGAAGGTCCTGAAGAACTGAGGGCTACACTGACCAACACAAACAGCACAGAGGTTACTTGTTCACCTTGTGCTCACATCTCAGTGTCCATCTGGCAGCAAGGAAGGTGGACAGAACTCTACGAAAGCTGGTTGCTTCAACTAGACCCCACGGCGAGGCTAAAGATTATGATATACTGGTCTCAGACTCCATGACCCAAACCCAGTCTCCACATTCACAGACTTTGAGGTGAATTCCCAAATTCAAAGTCAAATCTTCAAGTACACCCGAGGCTCTAATGTAGATTTTTGGAGTTCGGGCTGTTCCAGGAGTCCACATATGTAGAGACTTTTCCATAGATCACAGCCTGGCGATGTATAAGCGTGGATGTGCTGCAGGAGGTTGTGTATGTGTGGTGTTTTCACAAGTTGAAAGTGAACGAAGCTAAGAATACTCACACAGCATACTAACATGTTTGAGTGTGCAGCAGATGCACACAGCGAATGAGTTGAATTAGCAGTTAAGATTTCAAAGTTAAACTAGAATTACTGTTCATCTGCATGTGGATTGTAATTTTTAAGTTGTGGCATTGATTATTTTGTGATAAATATCCATGCAGTACTCACACTAAACAGATCAGATACGATGCCAGGAAGAAAATCAGTTAATATGATGACTCAATCATTTTGTACATCACTAACTTACGACAACTATAACCAGAGCAGCAAAGTGCAGCAACTATCCAACTATTTATTTTTCCTTCTAATCTCTTTTTATATTTCGTCCCCTAATTGCTTTTATTCCTGTGTGTGCTTTGTCTTGTAATTTCCTGTACCCTACGCATATGTTCGTATCAAAACTATTTTAACTATTTTGACAGAATAAAGAAAGAGTTTGAACCTGGGCTTCACCCCAGTTTACCTCAGTTACACTTTTGTTTGTTCTATGCGACCGTTTCATGAGGGTCAGTCGAGAACAGAGTGCACTCTGACGTCTTTGTGGATGTTATGAGGGTTGGATGTAATTCCTGCTGGAGCACGCGTACAGCTCATTGCTCTTATTCAATGCCACGGCTTTGAACTGGATCATTTGTCAGAGCAGCAGCAGCAGAATCTCTGGTGCAGACGCGACGTTGAGGTGTGTGTTAGTGAACCTCAGAGCTGTCATTCCTGCTGAAAAGTGCCCACGCTTCTTCTCCCATCAAAACTCCTGCACACGCTCGGTCATTAACCAAGCTCAGGTACATGCACGCACTGACAGGAGGACGTACCGTTACAGGGACACACGCTCTCCCAGGTGTGCAGTGGGGTGATGTAACCGGCTCTCGCTGTGGTGAAATGGCTCAGTCTCTCCCCTGACAGCCGAACAGCGTTCCTGCAGCCTCGCGGAGGACATCCGGTACCCAGACAGCCGTTATGACTCACCCTGAGGATGCTGAGGCCCAGCGAGTCCTCCATGTCTGCTATGATCCCTGCATCAAACATTTCAAACATCTCAGACTGCACACACAGCTTTGATTGCTGATTTGATGAATTAGTAATTGTGCTGATGATCACCTGCAAGTTTGTTTGTTGGCAGGGACTGGATGAGTCCACTCTGAGGCTTCCAGATCAGCAGGACATCCAGGACCTGGGCACCGGGCCGCTGCTGCAGGCTGGCCAGGTGAAGCTCTTGTCTGGGGAGACCCAGAGCTTGTGAGAGGCTGCGCTGGAGGCCTCTCCAGTGATCGCCCAGAAACTCCTCTGGTGACATCCCGACCAGCTGCAGCGTGAGGCCGGAGTCCAGCGCCCTCTGGTTGGCCGCCCACACGTGAACTTTGACCCCCGTCCACACGCTGAACTTCCCGTCGCTCACGCTGACGTTGAGGGCATATGAGCCCTCCTCCAGGTTTTCATCCGCCCAGATTTTACCATCAGTCAGGTCTATGGAGAACCTTTTCCCATTGGGGTTTTCTGACACCAGCTTGTAGTTCAGGACATCCTGCAGGTCCTGGTCTGAGGCGTGGAGCCTCCCGATGACCCGGTTTGCAAACAGTCCTCCAGAAGTTGTAATGAAGACCTCCAAGGGCACTACAGAGGGAGGATACTTGCTCTGCTCAGTGACGTTGATGTTGACCACACAGATGGAGGAGAGGGGAGGGTGGCCGCTGTCCGTCACCTGAGTGAAGATACACACAAGAATTTATATTCCTGAAAGATCACAATCGATTTTATAACTGTAAGACAGCGGTTTTCAATGTGAGGGTAAGACCCGAGACAAGAGGTGAGATCAGTGTTTCTGGCTGACCAGTCTTTAGCGAATTTTGTTATTACAAATTTTAAGGATCCGAAGACGTAAAATTAATATTTAACAATATAAAAGAAAGAAACAATTAGAGTAAAGTTTGAGAAAGTAACATTATTTGGGGTTTTTCTGATTTTCCCATCACGTCAGTCATATTGCGACTCCTCATGTTTATCTTCCCGAGGCTCTGATCCTGGGTGGGAACCACTGCATGACATGATGATCTGCCACACAAATCCAATCTTTCACTTTGTTTTTTTAAAAATATGCAACAGCCTAAAGCCAGGCTCACTGTCGTGGTCTTTGGGTTTGGTTTTGTTTTGTTAGATTCTGTCCTGTATGTTTTTCTTCTCAGTGTCTTTTGTGACTCCCTGTTTGCGTCTCCCTCTGTTTTGTTTATTTAGAATTCACTTGGAATTTTGGATTTGGACTTATCCCCAGATCACCAGCTGCTTTGTGTTTGTTTCACCAGTTATCCTTCCGGTAACTTACTTTATTAAAGTTTACCACCACGTGTTGTCTTATGGGGAAGCAGATGAAAACAAAATGGTGCGACAACCTGCTGTGATGCCAAAAAACTAAAGCAAGAGGCTAAATGGATGAGAAAATGGTTGGGAAGATACGGTTAACGGAGGCCGTCTGTTTGTCAGTGAGAATTGGAGTTGATGTTTTAACTATCAATTTTAATATCTGGAATACTGAGTGTAGCACCATCATAACTGTACCGATTTAAACTTAAGCATGATGGATATTATTGGTCGGGAGCTTTAAGACTGGATCTGTAAACCTCCAAAACAGATTTCCCTTCTGATTGTTGGAAGGGTGAAATAAATGTAATTTGCTCTGCAACTCCTGGGCCACGTGCCAAAGAGTCCCAAGTACAGTCTGCCAACAACAGAAACAATGCAGTTTATTTGATTACTTTTCCTGCTGTATTGACGATTTAAAACTGATTATGTTTTTGTTTGTTTTTTTCCTTCTGAGCTACTTCCGCCCAGTGATCCTTTAAGTGTTGTATATATATATATATATATATATGTGAGGTTTTTTTTCTTTCGCTATGGAAATGGTCAAAGTGAGAAACACAGCATTTGGACCAAAGTATCGTTTATCAGCAGTTTTCAGCCCAAACATACCAAGCAGTGCAGTAAAATGCATATTCAGCTGTATCCAAAAACTTCAGAAGGCTGCGACCTCAGAACAACCTCTTAGACTTTAACACATCACTTCCATCTAGATGAACGACCGTTTCCACTGCTTTCGATGTCTAAATTAAAGCATCACAATGTCAGGAACCGAAGCCGTGAGGGAAGCTCGGCAGCACATCAGCATGTTATCACTGAAGCAGGATTACAACACTCTGTTGTTTTAGTTTCTTTCATGGTGTAATGATTTGTGAGATTTTAATTTTATTGTCAAGAAAGAAAAGTGAAGGTGGAGTGAAGAACAGGAGAGCAAACTTTAAGCTCCTGCTGCTGCCTTCTTACCTGTATCTTCAGCTGATGTTGGGGTTTAACTTTTTTCCTGAGCGGAGCAGAGAGCGACAGCAGGCCGCCCTGGTCGACGTGGAAACGGTGGTCCTCGTTGCCGCTGACGACGTGGAAAGAGAAAGGCGGGCCGTTCTTGGGCGTGTCTTTGTCCGTCACCACGAGCTGGAGGACGGTGCTGCCGACCGACTCGCCCTCCTGCAAGGGACAGGTTTATTAGTTCATCCTCTGCTTTATATGGTTCCAGCTTAAAACCTTTATGAAGGTCATAATGTTTTAGTGGTTTTCAGTACTGGTGCATTCAGGTTTTTGCAGCACAGAACAGGCACTCAAACCCAGTGTCTACCTCCAGAGCACCACAACGTCCATGTTTGATTTGGCTTAACATAACTCTTGAGTGCTTTTATTCTATTCTTTTATGTTTTTATTGAGACTGCCTACAAACTGCATCCCTTCTGCTCACAACTTCATCACCACAGGACAGTAGCTTTGACAAAAAAAATAAAAAATAGAAGCCCCAAACTGTTTGCTGTGATGGATTACCCATCTCAAGCAATTTAAGACAGTCTGCATGCTGAATTTCATAGAGTACTGAAAGTAATAAAAAATGGCAGTTCCCTGGAAAATAGGTTATCAATCTAAAAACTTACAGCACACTTTGGGAGACGGGTGGCAGTAAAGTACACACAATTTGGAGTTAATGGGCTAAAACATGCAACACCTCCGGTGAGGACTTTCGGATTTCAATTATAGCACGCATCACAACACACAGTCCTGCTTTGTACAGCTCAGCGGTTCGAGCAAGGCATTAACCACGGAGAGGATTCACCTCCCCCGCACGGGTTTTCCAGGAGGAACCAGATGGAGATTGAAGCGGCAGCCGGCAGATTACTTCTTTTATCTCCATCGTGGCATCACTGTGTTGCCAAAGATCCCTGAAAGAAGTGATTGCAGCTCTAACGTTGTGGAGGAGAACAGGCGCTTGGGAGCTTGGGCAGGTGATTTTGATGGCCTACAGTAAGTTGCACTGTGGTTTGACGACGACTCTGAAACAAATGCCCAGTAATAAAGACAAACAGAGACAGCATGTCAAATCAGTGGGCGCTAGTGAGATGTTTCTGTGAGCTGCAAAGGTGTCCTACGTCTAACTTTCTCACGCTGGGTTTTTTTGTCCTTTGTGCCTTTATTTAATAGTGCAGTGAGAGAGAGACAGGAAAGTGGGGGAGAAGAATGGGGGGAGGACGTGTGGGAAAGGGTCATGAGCGGGATTCAAACTCATGACCTCCACATCAGGACTGTAGCCCTGCACATAGGACGCCTGCTCAACCAGGTGAGCTATAGCGGCGCCCCATGATTCATTTCTAAACTCAGTTGAATCGTGGTTTAATTTGAAGTCATGTTCAACTTGCTTAAAAGAATGTTAAAGTTAAACCTGGGGTTTGTTTGTGCTGCAAATATAGATTACATTTTATTTTATTGCACCAAAACTTTTAACTGCATCTTAAACAGAACAGAATAAAATTGGATCCAGTGACTTTAAACTTACACTTAAAGAGGTTTAACTTCTGAAATCCATGTTGTTTTCTTTTTACATCCATAACCTTGGATTTACTAAACTTTTTCATCGTTTAACAGAACTTTGCTTAATATGACGTCTGAATTTACTCATTTTAAGCCATGTTTAGAACCAATTCTAGATCAGAGCATTCTTTGTTGGCGTAACGCAATCTGAGTTTAGTTTGTGATTTAATTCAGTGCAGAACTCATAATTTTCACTTTTTAGTTCAATTCATGTAGCTTTATGGAAATGTGCTTTTTTGTAGATTATCATTTTAAATTGTCTTGATTTATGTCAAAGAAACAAACGATTCAAAAGTGGCTTTACGAATTCATAGTTTGAGAGCAAATAAGGCATTGTTGCATCTACAAGTTATGCTACTGTGGTTTATCAAATGAGAGCCCTCTGCTTCTTCCATGTGTTTACTGAGGGAGAATAAATGCTTATGTTCTTCATATTAAGGAGGACGTATCCCCTGCACCTCTCCCCTGAAACCTACGCCTATGCTTTGACACAGTTCTTCAAACACAATAAATTACTCATTTGCTGCTTTTACTGAAACACTCTAATTCGACTGCAGCCTGGTGTCACACGGACACAGCAGATGTGCCAGTTGTAAAAGTGGGCGTCCAAGAGCGACAAACTGTCAAACAAAGACAACCAATCTGAACAGGAGAGAGGACGCTGCCCCTGTCGACCTGCACACCTGCCAGGGAAAAGAAAAGAAAAGAAAAAAAAAAGAAAGAAAACACTCCTTTCCCCTGCTTTAGCAACATCCATCTGCTCAATGCAATCAGAGTTTCTTCATTAGGCGCAGCTGGCTGTGGAGACGGGATCGCAGAGATTGGATTCATCACCACACGTTTGGCAACGTTTTGGCTCGTGAATGAGCTGTTCTGTGACTGGACGGGAGTTTCCGAGCTGGCAGAGCTGAGTGATGGAGCGCTGGCACAGAAAACATTAATTGTCAGTGAGCAACAGCCAGTGTGGCTGAAACATTGATGTGATGTCCCTGCCAGAGGCTGAATGTACGAACACGGGCGAGTCTGCAGCCCCGTCCAACTGAAGCATCAAGCAATACGAAGCTCTGGCGCACACAAAAGTAAAGTAAAAAAAAAGTAAATTGCCTGTTACGAGTTCCTCCACGCCAGCAGACTTGGCTGTGCAATTAGAGGTTTCAGGTGAAAGGGTGGCACTCATGTCCTGCAAGCAACACACTCAAAGGCACACACGGCAAGCAGTCATGACGGCTGATCTTCCTGCTGCTTTGATCCGAAAGAAGTTGAGAAATCCTGCCCTTGTTTTGCCTCTGAAGAGTTTTACTCTTGAACTCTCAGCACACAGTTTTAATGAGCTCTGGGGCGCCGCAGTTATGATGGAGCAGCACTTACAGGTCAGCACATTTTCACCGGAGTGTGCTGGAGAAGCAGGAAGTGAGAGTTGATACAGAAAGATAGACGGACGGTTAGGGAATGACACATCTGTAGTGATTTCTCTTTAATTATCTGTAGTCATTAGTTCATCTGTCTCCATTACCACCCTGTAGGGCTTTCAGGAGCAGAGGAGGTTCAGGTTTACATCCTTGCTTGAGAGTCATTCGACTGCTTTTTGGGGAATATTTTATATTCTCCTGGTTTTATCAGGTTATTAAGGTGAACAGAAACTGGCGAGTTTTTTTTGGTTTTGTTTTGTTTTAGTTCAGCTCACACTCACATGAAATTCAGAGTCTCAGAACGATTCCTTCCTGTTCATATTGTTTCCATTGAGTTGTCACATCTCACACGAGTGCAGCTGCCACATCCCTCCCCTCAGGACGCTGGAGGTTATTCGTGGGAGTTGATGAGCAGGAGAGTTTGTTCCAGGGGTGTTTTTGGGTGAATTCATTTATTTATTTATTTCCCCACCCCCAACATATCGGTTGTTAACTTTTTGCTGATGCAGGGGCTTGTGTGAGGTCGTCGAGGTAGCAACATTTTAAGAGCCGCGGGCTGCATAAGTGGTTAGTTTCTGAGTGCAGAACAACAGCTGGATTGCCCAGACTGCCTACGGTGTCCTGCGGGGGTCAAATCAATCGATGGAGCAGAGTTTGTTAAGAGTCATAGACGAATCCGTGAGGTCAAATGGGATGAAAAGGCACGATTTTAACATGGACATCAGGCATACTGGTGCATTTGAAGGTAAAACAGAGAGAAAAGTTATTCAGTTGAATTGCACTATGTTTACATAGATAACAGGATTTCAAGAAGTTATTCACACTTCTTGTTACTTCTACTTTAGTCCTGCTTACAGTGAAACTTTTAATGGAACAGCCCTGACTGCGCTGTCATTTCATGCCTGTAGCACACCGGCGGCATCATCCAGATGAAAGAAAGAGTAGCCGAGGTACAACCGTTAGCATCTGTCAAACCAGGGAGCGCCTGATACTAAAACTTGAGCTTTCTGGAGAGCTGACACTCATCAGGGTGCAGTTAGTGGAATTTAACATTGAAAACCAGAAGGTTCCACACTTACACTCATGTTCCACTGAAAGTTAGTCGGCATGACTTTCACTTTGCAGACTCATGGGATGTAGGCTGCTGCTGCACAGTTGACGTAGCTTTCTGTTCCCTTTGAGGTGTCTGCATTACCGTTTTTAAAAAATTCCCAACAACAACCTCTAAGCAGTGACCTACATGCTGAGAATTTCCAGTTTTGGTGAAGGTTTGGATTGTGGAATAAGGCAGGCCTGCTTAGTTTTCTGGTGAATTATCCAGGCCAATGATTCAAATGTTACACTAAAACAATTCCCCCGTCACTACTTTGCCGGCGTGTTCCTGCTACATCATGAGCTTAACATTGTCTAAAACAACTGTGATTGGATTCAAGAAATACAAACAAGCCAGAGCACTTTTTTTCCCCTCTCTATAGCAGAATGACGTTAAGGTGCAGCAGATCATTCTCCCTTTTACGCCCCGTTATGTCCATAATTCCACAGGGTCAGGGTTCACTAAAGTCACTTTTTTAGTATAATTTTAAAAAAAATGCCAAAAATAAACCATTTACACAAGAATCTGCTCATCAGCACTAACAGGAAGCCATTACTAATGCAGCTGTGACTGAGAGCCAGGTGACGAAAATGTAGTTTCCACAGAGGTGCAGGACTTTATACTGCACTTAGTGAGCGAATAAAAATGTGACAGTAGAAAATAAACACCCAGGAACTGCTTGGGGTTCAGAGAGTTAATTATACATTTAGTTTTTCCAGTCTCCTGGCACACAGTGTTTAGCCTTTCCAAAGGACTTGATCAGAGTAAAGAAAGGGGAATTCTGCAAACACATCCCAGATTACGAAGCTTCCCCAGACCTCTGGTTGACACAAATATACACATTCAAAATTATGTGGAAACGAGACGTTAGTATCTGATCCTAGAGACACTCAGACGTCATACCTGCAGCAGCAGACTGTGGTTAACCTGCGAGAAGACGGGCGGGTTGTCGTTGACATCAGTGACGGTGATGGTGATATGGACTGCAGATGAAAGAGGGGGCCTGCCTTCATCAGCTGCCTGCACCGTCAGAGAGTAATGAGGGGTCTGGAGAGGAGGAAAAACAGAATCTGTTATCAACATTTTTTGTCTTGTTCTCTTGTGTTTGTGAAATGTGAAAATAAAAACTACCTTTTGTATGTGTTATCTGACACATACTGACCTCTTCTCTGTCCAGCGCAGTGCGGACAGTAATTTCACCGCTTCTGGGATGAATGGAGAACTGCTGCAGAAGGTCTCCACTCACGATAGAGTACCGCAGCAGATTATTGATTGGACCGTCCTGATCAGTGGCTGTTACCTTGAGGTAAAAGAACAGAGGGGGTGAACAATACTTCACAATATGTATGGAAATTGTCTCTGGACGTCAGAGGCCTTGCCGACAGAATTCAAACAAAAGATCCAACCCCACACTGCACTGACACAGTGCGCTCCACAAATGCAATCCAATAGAGCAACAACGACATCCAGCAAATGAAATAAGTCAGAGATTGTGCCCATTCAAAGCTTTGAATGAAGATGAAGGACATTTACTCCGACACAAGAAGCTAACTTCCTGAGAGAGGTTCCGTTGAAGCAAAAGTATTGACCTACATTGCTACGACCTGATTCCTCCAACACCTGTGTTGTTTGGCTTTACCTTCATGTTCCAGCCCCGGAGGTTATCGTTGGTTTTCACCTTAACTTTAATAAGAAAACAGCACAACCTTGCTTTAGTCAAAGCTGGTATTTGTGAGCAGCCCTGAAAAAAAAAACTGCTTTGTGGGGCGGTAACTGGTTGAATCTGGAGAAGACAAAAGCTGATTAGTTAAACGAGGAGAAGACATTTTTCTGCCTTTTTCTGTTTTCGTTGAGTCCTCTAAACATCACTACCAGCAACGTAGAATTCACTATAAACGCTAATGGAACATTCAGTAACTACTGTCTGTTGTGGTTTCGGTACACTCTGAGTTAACACAAAACAGAATAAATGAAAGGACCAATCGGGGGCCGTTCCTTTAAACATTTGTTCCACTTGTGCCTCACCCAGTTTCCTACAGTGAAAAGACGCCTCATACGCGCTTGCTTTCCACGAGCCTTTGACTCGACACCAACGTTAGTTTGGTTTAGCCTGGATACACACAGTTACCATGCTTCGTTAAGCTTTAAATTAGCAACAAGCTTCCTTTAATCTTGTTTTTAACAAGGCTAGCTTGTTTGAGCCTTGATCTTATCTTGATGAAAACAGGCTTGTTTAATATGGTTTTCCATTTGACTAAAATCTTCATTTGAGCTTTGTTTTTAACTCGGCATGCTATTAGCTTGCCTCTGTTTTTATATTATTGTTTATTATAATAATAGCAGGTTGTTTAGCCATGATTTTACATTTTTGTAATCTTCTTTCTGTTCCGTCAGCACACACAAATCTACATTTAATCCAACCCTATTTATTATTGAAAGCAAAGACGTTTCAGTTCAATGAGAGACAAAGACGAGTCATTAAAATTATTTAAACCACGTTCTGTTTTTCTCTTTATGGCTCCGGCTTTAGCTCCCTGTACCATGATTCCCACAGCTTTCCCCTCCGACAGATAACGCTCTCTCCTAATGAAAAATTACAGCATTTCTTATGGCGGCACATTGCAGTTATATAGTGAAAACTGAGAGATGTGAACAGACGAAGGCAGAAGAAAAATGTCAAATATGAGACCACATGATTACAGACTCATCATCCAGCCGTGGTTGCGACCATCAGTGAGCCACTGAGCTGTGTTATTGCTGTGTTATCTCTGCTGCCGGCCTGACAGCTGACGGCTGACATGTTGTCGGATAACTGTTTGTGTGTGTCTGTGTGTGTGTGTGCATGTGTGTGTTTAAGCTGCCAGATCTTCTCATACTGTCATGCTGTTATTGTGTGTATGCAATTATAAATATGTGTTGTTTTTATGAGCTGAATTCTGTGTGTGTGTGTGTAACTGTTTCTTATTACCTGAAGCGTCAGCAGTCTGCCAGGTGTCAGACGCTGTCATATTACGCGTTTTGTGTGGTTGTATTTGGCGGTGGGGAAGTGCAAGGCGATAACCTCAGTGCATGTGCTTACATGACCACGCAATATTTCCACAGTTTTATTTTGTTTTGCCTGTGTGTTCTGTTCTGAAGTTACAGATAACACAAAAAATGATTTGCCATTAAATTCAACCTTGAAATTGTCTTTAATTTAAAGTCCAATTCAATTCAGCGATTCAGAGCAGATTACTGATGTTTTCGTGTCGCCGATGTATGAATGTGCACCGTGGTCTGCATTGTATGTGTGTGTGTGTACTTGAAAAATTCATCAGAAAGTAATTTACTATAACCTTCAGGTGATGAAGTAACCTTTCCTTGTCAAAATATGTAAATGTGTAAGTCTTACCTTGCAAAAAGACAGACTCGGTTGCTTAATTTTTCAGAATACTTGGTATTTCAGAGCGTAGCTACGTGCCCTGTCTCTTACCTTCATCACCAGGCTTCCAGGCGTCAGATCCTCCGATACCTCTGCGCTGTAGTCGGCCCGTTCGAACGCCGGCGTGTTGTCGTTCACGTCCGTCACGTTGAGGATAACCGTGGTGACGTCAGTGAGCGACGACTTGCCGCGACTCCCCTCCACGGACAGGTAGTGCTCCCGTGATACCTCGAAATCCAGCGGGGCGACGAGGGTCAGAAGGCCTGCAAGACCACAAGGTATGACTTAATTATTCCTGAAGATGTAGTTTAGGCCAGTTTGAGCAACAACAAAAACATAAAAATCCATCCATCCATTATCTGTACACCGCGAGGGTGCTGGAGTCTATCCCAGCTGAGTCAGGGCGAAGGCAGGGGACACCCTGGATAGGTCACCAGCCTATCACAGGGACAATCTAGGACAATTTAGAATCACCAATTAACCTCAACATGTTTTTGGACTGTGTGGGAGGAAGTCGGAGAACCCGGAGAGAACCCACACTGCAGGGGGAGAACATGGAGACTCCACACAGAAAGATCCCAGGCGTCCTCACCAGGACATGAACCAAGGATCTCCTCGCTGTGAGGCGACGGTGCTAACCACCGAGCCACCGCGCAGCCCACATAAAAATCAGAAACAAAAAAAATAAATAAATAAACAAAAAAAATCCACTTTGCACAATTTTACTTGATTTTTTCTTTTCAAACATTTCTACAGATATTGCAGTAATAACATTATTGGAATTCTTTTGGCCACAATAATTGTGCAGAAAAAAATCAGATCTTGTGACAGCCGTAATCTAAAACACCACAGACTGACCAGGCTGCTAAATACAAATGTGTTGGTGTGCAGTGGTTGATGTTATGCTACAGTGCTGTTGGTTCCTTCTGATAGAATACATACAAAGTCTACTGTGCAAGTATAAGCCCTGTGGGATTCCTACAACATCTACACTTCCATCAGATCTACCAGTTGACCCGTCATAACACATACATGAATGAAATGAATGAATGAAAATACTTTATTTATGCCAGAAGGGAAATTCAATAATAATATATTATATATTCAATAATACATGCTGACTGGTCGAACGACGCACATCTAGAATATAATATAACGACTTTCTCTGTTTAGAAATGTATGCAAATGAATTTAATTATCATTGGCGTGAAAACGTGCTACCTTCACATTTACAGAGGTTATGTGAGTAAACTGATCTACAGGAGGAAGGAGTAAGAAGGAGGAAGCAATACAGCATACCTGAGAGCATTATATTACACTTTATTTCAAATTAGTGTTCTTTTTTTCAATAATAAGGACATTTTCATTTAAAAGTGATGCAGAAAAGCATAAATTGGTGCAGAAACATGTCTGAGAATGCAGGAAATGAAGTGAACGTGTGTCCCACTTCAATGTTCAAACCAACTTTTTTCTGGATGAGATTTAACACGAGACACTGTTCACGTGTTTAACATGCTACTACTTGGATATTAATGTGTATACAGTAGGTCTGTTAATAATTTTGAAGTTGACCATTTAGAATGCGGACGGTAATCGTGGTCACACAAATATTCAGCTCGGGCGCGTGCAGCCATGCCGGATTTCCACGGCGGCATCAGAATGCAGAACGTGGTAAAGCTGTATGCCAATCATCAGCTGTAAGTTGTGGGAATTTAGCTGTCAGCACAACAGCTTTCCTGCGTTGGACTGATGTGTGGTTAACAGAAAACCGTGACCTGTTTGTGGATGCTACATGAAAAGTCAAGAGGCGGGCATAAAAATAGCCACTTAAAAGAGAGATCGATAATTTACACGTCACCGCGGCGCCTCGCTTTAGTTCAAAGAACTCTGTCTCAGATGCACAGTGATCTTATTCTGTATTCAAATCTTATTCCATGCATTTTCTTCCTCACCACCACCTGCACATTTGAACTGCTATCATCCCCCCTCTATGTAAACTACTATTTTACAGCTCTGCTTGAATGCACACCATACAGGGAATGCAGAATCAATATGAAGCAGAGCCTGCGCTGCTTAAAATGGATGTCCTTCTGCTACAAGACGGGTGCTTTGGATGGTAATATGTACCCTAAGTCAAACACGTCCTGTGTGTGGGATCATGTGACATATGCAGTGAACTCTTACTTTTGTCAGCTCAGTGAAGCTGTGAGTTTAACCTTTCAGCAGCTATAAATCTCTCCACAGCTGGCTGCTGTCCTCATGCGTTTGCTGTCATCCACATGTGAAGTCTAAACCTCAATTTATGGCAGCGATAAAAGAAGCGTCACAGGGATGTACTGTGTCGTATCCGCCTTGTTTTTTTTTCTTGACTGCTCTTGAGTCATCCCTTTCAATTTAAATGGTCTGAAGTCCTCCTTTATCTGACCTGCCGTAAACATGCCTTAAGCAGACAGACCTTTTCACCTCCTCTGGTCTTTTCATCAGTGGAGCCTCATGACTAAATGTTTGATTTCTAGTGGTTATAAATGACTCTGTGTTGGAGGAAAAAGAAAACACACAAATTTCAGCGTTTGATGTCAAAAAAAAAAAAAAAAGACAAAACTGGGGAGAAACGGACCATTTGGTATTTGGTCATTACCTGGTTACAGGCAAACATTCCTTCATCAGAGCTTTTTACATGTGCTGTGTTTTTGTCTTAGGTGACTGTTAATTGAATATTTTTGGGGTTTTATTTGTTTTTGAAAGGCTTGTTGTCTTTAAAGAAAATCATCATTTATCAGAGCAAGAAACTGTAAAAACAGAAAAACGTCACCTTGTACAATTCAGTTAGAAAAAAATAAATAAACTAAGAATTGCGATGAAAAAAAAAACCTGAATGTTTGTTCTTTTTTATGATGTATGGCATAAATAATATGTCACACTGCACAAAAGACGTTATTGAGTTTTCTCCCTCTGTAGCCTTGGTTATGACACAATAGAACTTTATATTGCAGTGAAGGAAAAAACTGCTTCGGTTACAGCAGGTTAGAATTTTAAAATCTGTAAAACATGAATTAAAATTTATTTATTTATTTCAACACTTCTTGTAACAACCTTGTGTTTTGGTCGACCAAAATCTAAGAGTTTTTACTTGAAGATTTCAAATTATAAACTTTCACTGAGAAGATTTTAACGGATAAATCTCATATTCATAACAATAATGAAGGACTGTTCAAGCACCAGAAGCCTGATGTCTCCTATTGCTTTGAGCCATCAGTGAGCCACAGCGTTGCACTTAATACCATGAAAACACACACTGTACTTTATTTTCACTCAAGCCCACATACACTGTCCTCAAAAAAACCCCAATAAAACAAAAACCAATATGCGTTTGACCTCATTTTAAAGATTTACAACAGCAGTAGGAGCCTGTATGTTTGAAGCGGACGAGGTAGTGCCGTCAGGACACACTGAGAGACGAATGCTAAGACGTTGTTAGTGTTGGTGGGATTTGTTGACAATAAGAAAAATAGAGGATAACTCCAGCCTTATCCTTTAAGAAAGAGCAGCTGTACTCTGTCAGGCTTTGTGGGATTAAAGCGCTATAAAGCACCACAGGCCGATACAGAGAGATCATAATTAGGAGCAGCAAGCAGTGTCTCCAACAATGGGGAACTTGTCGTCTCTCAGACTCTCGTTGCTCATTTTTCTGGATAAACTCCTGTCCAAACCACATATCTGTCAGTAGCCAACAAACCAAGTCTAAACATGTAATTGGTGTTTTAGTGAGCCCACCACAACAGGCTTTAACAGAGTGTTTGCAGATGGGGGGGCTAACTGTAATTTGTTCACTTTTTTTTTTTAATGTTTGTTGAGATGAACGGGCCTGAAGAGAGCTCTTAGTGAGCTTATTGTAGCGGCGTATCTGCCTACTGCGGCTCGTCATACCCGGCAGAGTGTTCGGTGGAGACGCTCGGCCTGCTTTCTTGGGCTGCCAGCCAGTCTGCTCAACCATACTTCATTAAGATAAAAACAAAAACGAGATCCAACAAAAACAACCACCAACCATTCCCCTCAAACTAAACACCTCCAGGTATCAGCGAGTGAATTATTTGCACCTCGTACACACAGTGCAGGTCTCATTTTATTGATTTTTCTGACATCAAGGAGATTTCTGCAGCCAGTCTGAGGCACAATGATCCAAGCTGTGTTCTTCTTTGTGTGTTTTCTACTGTGAGAAAATTGGCTGAGGTCCAGTTTTTCCTTCCTATCAGCGCCCTGCATCTCGTTCCTACTCTGCCTATATCATCACAGAGCACAGTACTGTTTATGTAAATGTGATAAGGCAACAACCAGTCTGACTGCCCTGCTTTCGAGCACCGATAACAGCTGATAAGGAGGGAAAATGGCTCGTACAGTCGCATTGCATGTGACTTATATTTTTTTAGCCGCTGACTCAAGTTCTGATGAAGTCACTGGGTTAAAAAAGTGACCCAGTTTTTTTTCCAGTAACACACAAGTCTCAAACAGACAGACCTATCTCTGTAGTACTGTGTCGGCTGTGGAGAATGATCTGCTGCACCTCGTCATCATTCTGCTGAAGGGTTTCTTTAAATCACTCACAGTTGTGTTGGGTGGTGGTAAGCCCGGCAAAACAGTTTTGGGGACAATGTGAGGAGGCGATTCAAATTTATAATTCTCTGCAAAAACTTCATGATAACAGTAAAAGACATTTGTTGGCTGTGTCATATGAGTTTACCTGATTTAAGGAAAAAAAAAAAAAAGGACAATTTGACAAAGATAATTGCAGATGAGGGCGGCAAGGTGGCTCGGTGGTTAGCGCTGTCACCTCGCAGCAAGAAGGTTGTCGGTTCGCGTCCCGGTGAGGACACCTGGGATCTTTCTGCGTGGAGTTTGCATGTTTGCACGGCTTCCTCCCACAAGTCCAAAAACATGTTGAGGTTAATTGGTGATTCTAAATTGTCCGTAGGTGTGAATGTGAGTGTGCTTGGTTGTCTGTCTCTAAGTGTAGCCCTGTGATAGACTGGTGACCTGTCCAGGTGGGATAGACTCCAGCGACCTTAGTGAGGATTAGGCGGTGTATAGATAATGGATGGATGGAACTGCAGATGAAGATGGAGGAGCTGATTGGAGAATCAACTCCAACTGACAATGGAGCCTCGTTGTTGTTTTAGTCGTGCAGATTGGATACATGGATCAGTGACATGTAAGACTCATAGTCCTGTCAGTGAAGCTCAAAGTGGAGAAGAATGCAGCACAAAAT